ATATCTATATTATACTAGATAACGAACTACCGATGTTTTCCATTGAGAGAAGTGAAGCCCGGGGACGCAAGATTATCATACGTCCGCCATGTTTTCGGTTGGCAAAACAATATTACTTTACACTATATAAAATAGTTGAACACACTAAATTATTAAATTAAACATTTTTCATTACGTTTAATCAAAATTAAATGTCATTACAGAATTGAGAATATTAACTTAAAATTGCACTATTGATTATTTATATAATGTAATAATATATTATAATATATCATAATATATATATAATTATGTATATAATATATATTGATTATATTATACTCGTAATCAATGAGTATACAATAAATAAAATGATTTATTTAAATACACAAAACCAAATCACTATTAATTAATTAAAATATATAAAATAAATGTTTATGTACTGATATATTGTAGTAGGGTTTGTTTTCCAAGTTTGGTTACTAACCTTAGCGTAATTGATTGAAAAGCCTGAATTGGCCTGATGTTTGAGGGATTTTCTGGGCCCCAGATTGCTATTCCATAAGACCAGACTGGTCTTATGGTTGACTTTTATATAATAAGTTTGTTTTGGAGTGTTATTTTGGAGTTTAGGAGTGGTCGGAGGAGGTGAAGTCTGTTGTTCGATGATTTTCTTTTTGGTGGGGGGCCCCAAGTTAGTCTTTTATCAAGCGTTATGCCTAAGTACTTGATTTTGGTTTGGACAGGGATGGGGGTGTTGTTCATAATTAATTGAGGGCACTTACAGGAAGATTGTTTTAACGTGAAAGTAACTTGTACAGACTTTTTCGTATTAATTTTTATTTTCCATTTTTTGGCCCATTCTTCAATTTTATTAGCATGATCCTGGAGTTCAGCTGAAGCTAAGATAGGATTAGACTGAAGGAAAGAATAGCTATGTCATCAGCGTATGATGCTAAAAGGGTGTTACTAGATTGAGGGATGTCTGCTGTGAATACATTATATAGATCAGGAGATAGATCATTACCCTGTGGATATCTAGTATATATGGGGTGGGTAGATGAATATCGTTCCCCTGTCGTACGACAAACGAACGATTTTGTAGGTAAGATTTGATAATAAGATAGTAGGGAGCTGGCATGAAAAGTTTTAATTTGTATAGTAAGCCATCGTGCCAGACTTTATCGAATGCTTGAGCAATATCTAAAAAAAGTCCGGAATAGTATTCTTTATTTTCGAGAGCAGTTGAGATTTCATCAGTAAGACGATGAACTTGATGGATTGTTGAGTGCCTGTTTCGAAAACCAAACTGATTATTCGGTATGATATGGTTGTTTTGAAGGATGGGACGTAATCTTTTCAGGAGGGCCATTTCGAAAAGTTTATCAAGGACTGGAAGTAAACTTATGGGACGGTATGACGAAGATAAGTGTTTAGGTTTATTTTGTTTGTGTACAAGTATAATTACTGCAAATTTCCAGATTTTAAATAAGTGGGAATATCTTAGCATAGAATTATATATGTGGGTGAGCAATGATAAAGTTTTGAGAGACAGATTTTTCAGAATTTTGTTTGTAATGAGGTCATTTCTAGGTGCCTTGCCGGGAGGTAATTTTTTAATTATATACTGAATTTCACCAGGAAAGATGGGTTTTGCAGGTAGCGACATAGGTAGCGAAGCTGAAAGAAATTGTTGGATTTCAATAATTGTGTCGTTTTCAGAATCGATGCACGAATGAGGCTGGAATGTTTCAGCTAATTGAGAATATACAGATACAGATAATGTACAGAATATACCTTGCAGTTAAAAATGTAAATGTTGAGGTGTTTTTAAATCATATTATCTATACTTCATACGTACCGAAAAAAGTGAATTGAGGAATTACTTTTAAAGTGATTTGAACAACCGTATGCAACACAAGAAACAGGCATATTTAATAAATATTAGTTACTAAATAGTGTATAATTAATATTGTGATGTGTGGTGAACAGTGTTGATACAATATTTTGCCAACTCAAAACATGGCGGAAAATGATAACATAATCAATGCGTGCTTCAAGTGATATCGGAAGTTCGTCATCTAGTATAATATAGGTATCTGTGCTACGCTACTGCCTATAGGTAATCATATATGGTCATGTTATTATCTGACTACTGACTATAGTCATTATTTGTTTCACTTGTGAGTAGTTGCCAACCGTCCTACATTGGGTAAGACTGTCCTACATTTGTTCCATTTGTCCTACGTTCAATAAATGCTATAAACTATTTGTAGAACAATTCTACATTTTACACAAATTTCTATTTATATTTCAATATTATTATTCTTTTAATTTTATCAATTTATTATTTAATTAAGATGGTAAACATCCAAGTGTTATAATTAATAAGCTAATTTAATAAATGTGATATAAATAAAATGTTTAAGATATTTTTCTTAGTTATCATTATAATATTATATACTGTTAGTTGTAGTATTGCCACTACTATGCAGTGCCATAGCCATGGGGAGAATGGTCCATGCCCCCCCCCCACCAAAGGCCGTATTGTTTATACATATAACCAGTATAAATAACCATAATGGGGTCTTTTAATTTTTTACTTTGCATCTCCCTACTACCTCCGAAATCCTGGGTTCGCTGCTGAAAAATGGAATAAATTGAGTATGAAAAAAATTGTCCTACATTAAACAATTTGAAAGTTGGCAACCCTACTTGTGAGAATATCTTAGTGAGTACTAAGGCCGGATTCACATTGGCGAGCGACGAACGATGAGCGACTAGGAATTTCCTAAAATATATTTAACACGTAGTTCTAAATGAAAGTGTTTATATTGGTTTTGAGCGATTTGCGACAGCGACCGGCGATTCTCGAGGCGATGCGATTAATATTAATCATGTTTAATGTTCGATCATAATTATAGAGCGATATGTACTTCATTTTCAAACGTGGAGCAGTTCACTTGTTTTAACTAATTTTATTCATTTAACTTTATTATAATTATTGAAATAAATTATGAATCAGTATAATAAATTTACTTCTGAGCAAAGACAAATGCTAATTTCCGAAGTTCAATTAAATCCGATTTTCAAAACAAAATCGTTAGCACAGAGTTTTCTAACAGTATCGTTAGCTGAACTATACTTGTCGGCGACATATTGGCAGATGATAAATTAATTTTGTTTGATAAAATATTTTACATAACATCGCTTTAGAGAATCGCTACTAAATGTAAATATTTTAATCGCTCGCCAATGTGAACCTTACCTTAGTCAGTGATTAGTGATTACATCTGAAATTATTTTTTGTTATTTTAAAATGGAAACATATTTAAATAAGAGTAAGAAAAGAGTACATAAGGAGGTAAACACCGCTGAAGACATTATTGAAAATATAGACACTAATGATTATGTCCCTGGATCGTCTATATCAAGTGAAAGCAGGCGCGTAGCCAGGGGGGGATGTTACAAGTGTAGTAACACCTTCCTTAACTATGTTATACTTAAATCTTTAGGTAAAAATTCATTATAAACTGTGATAAACACATATTATAACAGTAATATAATGCTGGGACCCGACTTCTTATTACACTATTTTATCTAATGAACTAAATCCGTGATTTTTTATCGTTTCATACACGATTTAAAATATATATATATATGAGACAAAATGCCCATTTGAAATTTTAATAAAATATTCACTTTCTCATACATTAATATAATACTCATACACATATATTCATGTATAATATACTAAAGTATTTGTATGTTTGTACAATAAAGTATACGAAAAGTAATTATTTTGTTGTATATAATTTTATCGATTAATTTTTAATAACACGCCCCTTTTCAATTACCTAGCTACGTACCTGAGTGAAAGTGAAATGAAATCTTATAAAATATAAAATTTCTCGCTAGATAGCAAATATTAGAAAATTATATCGGTCGAAGAAACAAAAATATCTGCTGTTTGTCGATTGCGCTCGAAGAAAATGATTGCTTATTCCAATTCTACTGGGAATCTATTAAGTCACTACAAAGTAAGTATTATTTGTTATACAGTTAGGTCAATACTTTAGATAGATACATAATATATTTCTTGGAAAATTACCTACTACCATTGATTATAGAATAGACTATTCTATTATCAATGCTACTACCTTTAGCTACTCACTTTCTTTTTCAAAGCATATTTTATATTTTTCTAATTTGAAAAAATTAGTATAAAAATAATATAAGACAGATCTCTACTTTCTTTCTAATAAAAAAAAAAAAAAATTATAATTCTTACCTACATACCTACTTTTTTTGAAACAATAGGTACTGTTACTGCCCATCAGGCAGTTCACTAATATGGTTATTAATTGTACTGTATTATATATATATATTTTAAGATAGTGGAGGTGGGTCGCGTAATCAACAATCAGTAAATTTGTGGGTCACCATTACAAAAAGGTTAGGAGATACAAGGCTATAAGCTATAATCTATAGTTTATAATCTACGAAATAAAAATGTATCATCCATCTAAACTCTTAAAAATTTACTACCGTTCCGAATTTTTAAAAATTTGTTATACTGGACAACAAGACCCATAGTCCCTATTTTAATACGTATCTGTATATAACAATTCTTTTTAAATGGTAAAACTGTTAAAATGTATTTATAAATAGTCAAAAAAATTCATATTTTCTTAGCTCCTTTTATACCTCAGTAAAATAAGTTTGAATTGACAGAAAGTATTGAAAATGCAATATAAATATAATTAAAAAATTTGAACTTAACTACACAAAAAAATGTTACTATCCTTTGACAAAAAGATAAATATATTGAAATTCCACACATTTCTTAAGTTTAAAATTCATAATATTTTTAATAGAGGCGTGCCTAGAAATTTTTTTTGGGGGGTTCAATATTTTTACTAACACGTACCTATTTTAATCGTATAAGTGTATTTATTTTACTAGATAATAGATATTAAAATATTAATATATATATTTATTATAATTGGTCATATATACAATATTCATACAACATACATAAAAAAAAATCACAGAACGAATCCTTGTCTTCGAGGTATTAAAGCGAACCTTCTTACTACTTCTTTAGGATCAACGTTAATTTCTTTTTGAATTGAAAGAAGAGCTAACCCAGTTAACCGATCTTCTCCAGTTGTGTTGCGCAAATATGTTTTGAGACACCGTAAAGTAGAAAAGGTCCTTTCTACAGTTGCCGTAGACACGGGTAAAGTTGCTAATATTTCCATCAGTTTTCTTATATTTGGGAAAAATCTTTCATCACATTCTAATAAAGACTCTACTGCATTTGAAGGTTTTTTTTCAATATTATCTTTTAGCCATTTTAATTTCCATGTGGAGAATTCTTCATTAAATACTGTAGAATCTGGCAATAAACTTTCATAAAAGATTATAGTATCTTTTGATAGATCTAGTGAATTTACATTAATACATCTTGGAATTAATTTTTCTAATTCAGTTATTATTTGTTTATGTTTTATAAAACGGTCTGATAAATGAACAATGGTATGGTCTAAAAATGAATTAAATATTGTGCGTCTGAAATACTCTTCAGGCGATTGTGAAGGAGTATTAACCCGGTTTATTTGTTTTTTTACGCAGCGAGGAATTGTCACTTCACTACCTACATCAATAAGTACAAAAATTAGTACAAAATATTAAACTTACGTGGAAATGTATTATAAATCTTTCGATGTTGTTCACTGTATATATTAAGGCACGTTTACACGGTGACAGTACTGTCATGACAGCACTGTCGTATAGTAATGCGACAGCTATTGTCACATGAAAATGAGCGTTTACACGGTGACAATAATTGTCATAACAAATATTGTGTTTCGTGCGATAGCTAATTAAAATTGACTAACAGTGTCACTAGTTTATTTTATTATTCACTTTATTATAATTTATAATTCACTGATTCACTTATTGTTTTAATTTTGCCTATTCTTAAAGTCAGGTATACATTTATCCTATAAACAAGGATGCTCTTCGTAATATTTTAGAAATTGAATAGTATCAAAAACTATTTTGAATTATAATTTCATTTATATAATTTTCAATTAATTATTATAATTAGATATATATTATTATTTAAACATTTAAATTAATTAATAAAAACTGTAGGTATATGTGATAACAAGTAATAATTGATAACAACAATACAAAAATCGTACTACGGTAGTAGTTGACAGTGTGGTAGTCACTGTTTACACGATAGAAGTGGCTGTCACACTGTCAGCTAGTTACTGCCTACTATCTAGCAGAGCTAGATAGTTCGACAGCTGGCAGTTGACAGTAAAAATGGGAATTTTCGGTCTTTTGAATGATTCGAATCATTTGAATCGAATCAGTCAAGTGATTCGGTCATATCAGTCATTTCGGTCATTTCGGTCTAGTATCAAATATCGTTCTTATCATTAGGTGAATCAATTTTCTTATGAAATATGAATCAGTCAATCAATGACAGAGATTGATTATAATATAATGTTGTAGATTGTAGTTTGTACTGTTTGTAGTAAAACGCCGTGGTTGTTATCATAAACCATGATAATTATCACGGCATTAGATTATTTAATTATTTAATATTATACTAATATAATATACTACCTATGATTACTATTATAATTTATAGACTTGTGTTTTCTTAACTTTTCAGCGGGCGCGCCATCATTCTTCAAATAGTTCAAATACCATGACTGAGCATATTGAGGAACATAATTTAGATGAACCATCTACTTCGGGAATGCCAGTATCAAATCCTTCACACAAATTTTGACATCAGTAACACCAACCAATATTAGACCCGTTCAGACTTCCATAAATTCCTATGTACAAAAACCAGTATCCGTTTCAAAATCAAAAAAAATAGATTCTCAAATAGCAAAATTAATCATTAAACATTACCATCCTTTTATTCTCGTCGAAGAAAAAAAATTTAAAAATTTAATACAGATGTTGGCACCGGGTTATGTTCTTCCCAGTAGAAAATCAGTATCCAATAGCCTTTTGCCTCAGTTATATGAAAGTACTGTTGATAATATTAAAAATAAATTAAAAAATGTAACAGCAGTTTGCTTAACAACTGACGCTTGGACTTCAATTAATAATGAATCTTACGTAGCTGTTACTGCACATTATATCGATGATGATACGAAAATGTCATCAATTCTGATTGGTTGTCAACATTTCACAGCCAAACACACAGCTGTTTAAATGTCTTCTCTCCTTAAAGAGCAGGTGAATAAATGGGGATTAGACAACAAAATCACTATAATTGTCAGTGATAATGCTGCTAATATAGTTGCAGCTGTTCGATTATGCCAGTGGAGGCATTTTCCATGTTTTGCTCATAGCATTAATTTGATAGTGCAATCTGGGCTAGAGGCAGTGAAATTAATATTAAATAAAGTAAAGGCCATTGTCGAATATTTCAAACACAGTACTTACGCATTGTCTCGTCTAAATGAAATTCAGACACAAGGTGGTTATTCTGTTTTAAAGTTGAAGCAAGACTGTCCTACCAGGTGGAATTCTACATATGACATGGTTGATAGAATTTTGAAAATAAAGGATCCAGTGTTATCCACATTAGCCATTATTAATAATGATCTAAACACTATCACATTTGATGAGTGGAATGTATTAAAAGTGCTATGTCAAATATTAAAAATATTTTATGATGTAACTAATGAAATAAGCTCAGAGAATTATATATCTATATCTAAAGTAACAATATTTTCAAGGGCGATGGTCAACTATGTATCAGGGTTCACTAATAACAGTATAATGCCAACTGAAATTTGTTCAGTGGCAAAAATTCTTAAAGATAAATTGCATTTAAGATTTGACCAGCTTGAAAATAATGAAGTTGTGATGCAATCAATATTATTAGATCCACGCTTCAAAAAACAAGGATTTCCAAATGATCAAAAATACCAATCGGCATATCAATCTTTATCAAGGAAAGTGCAAATCGTACCTATCGGACAAGACGCTCAAGAACCAGAAGCAACATTAGGTATTGGTCCACTTTCTGGACCGGAGACTATTTGGAAGGATTTTGATACCAGAGTTATTGCAGTAAGTGGTGGTTCGAATGTGACAGTAGCTGGTATATTAGAATTGAATCGATACATTGCTGAACCTTTATTAAAAAGAACGGAAGATCCATTAGTTTGGTGGAATGAACGTAAGTTAATTTATCCAAAACTATACCAATTAGTTTGTCGTAGGTTATGCGTTGTAGCCACATCAGTTCCATGCGAGCGCATTTTCTCTAAGGCTGACATGGTGTTGACGGAGACACGGTCAAGACTCACGACTGACAAAGTTGAAAAGTTGTTGTTCCTAAATCATAATTTAGATTAAAGTCTTTTTTTATTTATATTTTTATTTAAAATTGTTATAAATTAATGAGTTCAACATGTAAAAAGGAAAATTTATGTTTTATTTTATTAACAGGTTATTTAAATTTTTTTTATTGAAAATTAAAAAAGTAACTGAATGGTTTTATATTTGATAGTTAACAATAATTATAAACTCGCATAATTTCCCCTGTACTAACAGAACGGTCCTAAATAATGTTAAAAGTACATGTATGGTTCGGAATGTATATTAAATACAAATTGGTATTTGTCATTTCGTCGGCCTGCATCCTTAGCTCTTTCCTCTGTGGTTATAAGTGTAACTAACAATATTAACAATTAATTAACATTTAACAGCCTTATAATATATAAAATACAATATAATAACCTATACTAAATTAGTAACTAGCAAGAAGTAACACAGTAAAACATGAGTCACGAAATAATAAATTATAAATACTTAACAAATTATACAGTATTGATTATAATTACTTATTACTGATTAGCGATTAGTAAAATAGTGAATAATTAGTAATAACTGATAACTGATCACCTAAACATGGATCAATGATCAATAAAACAATTTTTAGTGATGGGCGATTTGAATCTATCTCGTGAGTCGTGAGGTAGACATAATATTATAATATTAATAAATAATAATATGTAAATACGTAATACGTGATAATAATATCAGTATGACAGCATTGCTGGTTGTATAATATACTATAAATACTATAAATATTATACTGCAAGTTGTAAGTGAAAATGTCGTAACTCGTAAGTGTGACCAACGTACTTAACAGTGTGTTAAAAAATAAATTCCATTCGAATCGATCCGATCCGATTCCATCTGAAAGAAAAGTTTCATATAAAACTGTCAAACGACCTAAAGATCGATTTGACCGAAAGACCGAAAGACCGAATACTTTTTGGTAAATCATTCGGTCGCGATTCGGTCACTTGAATGATTTGTTAATTTTGATTCGGTCAGTCGCGACCGACCCACCTCTAGTTGACAGTGTGACAGCAACTGTCATTATGTTACATGACGACAGTCTTACGACAGCGACTATCATGACGGCGACTGTCGAGTGCTACTGCCATCGTGTAAACGCGCTTTACAGTAGTTATCTTGGTCGAAATAAACCGTGTTTAATTCTTTTACGTGGCTACATGGGACACATTTTATATTGAAAAATCTTAGATAAAGTACAATAGTCGATATGTTATCGTACACGCGCTCCAGTCAATCACGCGTATTTATAGGTATACGGATTTCTCCTATACCTATATCGCTCACATGACCCGAAATAATGATCTTATTTCACGATAGCGATGCAAAGACACCACGTCCATGTGAATCAAACCTAATCAAGTTTCACATATAATATATATTATAATATTATGTAAAACTTTTATTAACAATTATTTTTATTTTTCGGGGGGGTTGAACACCCAAACCCCCCCCCTAGACACGCCCCTGATTTTTAATATTTTTTAGGTTTTAAATAATCAATTATTCTAGAACAATATATAAGATATGAAATGAATATATTGTAGTTGATGGATATTATTTGAAAAGTGTTAAAAACTTAAACGAAAATTATAAATATAAATTTAAGAACAGATAACTCATAAAAATACCTAGAGTACAAATATAATCTACTACTACTGTTTACTGTCATATCCATAGGCGTGTTCAGACTTTGGTGGCCGAGGGGGCACAACAAATTTTTAAATTATGAGACTTATATTTTTTTTTAGATATGAATAATAAAAATATATTTAAAACTCAAATAAAAATACGTACATTTTACTACTATACTGTACTGTCGCGGATCTACACACGGGGCAACACGGGGTAGCTGCCCCAGGGCGCCAGGTCTAAAAGGGCGCCTAATGAACCAATGGGTTGACTGTATTTTCGTTTATTTTAAGTTACTAAAAATAATTTTTTGAAAACATTTTTAAGAAAAAGTATCCATATAGGTCACAACTGCAGTCAAAAGTTTAGCGAGCTGTCGAGTTAAAGTTAAAATATTTTATGTTGTCTAGTGGAGTAGTGGGGGGGCGCCAAAAAAACTGCCCCATGGCGAAAAAATGCGTAATCCGCCACTGATACTGTATTGTACTAAAACTATCGGTAGGTAATGAGTACAGATCGCATTATTTTTTTTTATCCTGGCACGGTTTTGTTGGAGGCTAATTCCGCCGGAGGGTCAGTGGCCCACCCGGCCTCTCCCGTAAACACGTCTATGTTCATATCTATAAAATATTTTCAATTAGTGAGT